CCTGTTCTGTATCCGTGTCTCACGGAGTATCACTTCACACTCTGACCTGCCTGTTCTGTTCCCTTTGTTGAGAGAGGGTCTCATGCAGCCCAAGCTGGCCTTGCACTAGCTGTAAAGCCAATGATGGCCTTGAACTCCTGATCCTCCTGCCTTCTACTCCAAGGCACTGAGAATATGGACCTGAACTTCAGTGTTTGCTCACTAGATGAGTGGTTGAACCTAGCACCAGAACATCCCAGGCAGGTGCTCCACCACTGAGTTATGTGCTTGTACTAGTTTTTTCCCTTGCAAAGATTGCTGCTATGAACATTTATATATGTGATCGGCTTACTGTAGTATGTAAAGTAGTCTTATATTTTGCAGACTTGCTTATTTAATTGTTTTATTCATTTAGGTCTTTAACCATATTTTGTTGTAAATTTTTTTTTAACTTTTTGGAGCTTTTGGTTTCATTATCTAAAATAAAAGTTATTCTCTCATCCACCATGATGGTTCATGCCTTTAATCCCAACACTCAGGAGACAGGCAGAGGCAAGCAGATCTCTATGAGCTCAAGGATAGCTTGGCCTACAAAGCAAGTTACAGGACATTCAGAGCCACATAATAGAAAGACTTTGTCTCAGGCTAGAGAGATGGCTCAGCAATTAAGAGCACTGACTTCTCTTCCAGAGTCCTGAGTTTAATTCCCAGTATCCACAACCATCTGTAATGGGACCTGATGCCCTCTTCTGGTGTGTCTGAAGACAACTACAGTGTACTCATATACATAAAATAAATAAATAATTCTAAAAAACAAAAACCTATATGTCTCAGGCTAACCTTGGACCTCAAGTTCACTCTGTATACCTGCCTACTTCCCTTCATTTTACAGCTCATAGAAAGACTACTCACAACATTTTAGTATCAAATTTGAACTTAATAAACTTCTAATGTAAAATAGCGACAGGGATCAGGTAGGTAAGCACTTGTCTAACATGCATAAGTCCCTGGGTTTGATATCCAGCACCGCACAAAAAGATAAAATTGAAACTCCTGTATTGATGGCAATAGGAATTTAAGGATTATGTTTGCTTTCTCTTCATTCTAACATAAAGATTAGGCAAGAGTGCCTGTGGTGATCAACACCATAATCTTAGCATTTGGGAGACTGATGCAAGATAATTTCAGAGAGTTCAGAGCCAGCCTGGACGACTTAGTGAGTTTCACACTAACTAGGGTGACACAGTAGGCAAGCTGTTGTCTCAAAACAAAACAACCGAGGGCCAAGCCTGAGTGCCCGAGTTCAATCCCCAGGACACACACAAATAGACAGGAACAGGCATGTGGTAGGTGAGATGATTGGCTTTCCCCCACCTAGTCTCATTTGATCTCTGCTTATTTATTTTCAGAGCCTGATTCTTTTTTCCCCCCCAATATGTATTTTTATTGGAGAGAGAGAGTTAGTTTGTGTGTATGTATGTTCACAACTGTCTATAGCTCCAGGTCCAAGTGATCTGACACCATTTTTCAACCTCAGGCACCAGACACACACACATAGTGCATCTTGTATACATGTAGGCAAGTTCTCATACACATAAAATAAATAAATCTAAAAAATTAAAAATAGAGAGGAAAAAGAACTACAAATACCAGGAGAAACTCTAAATCTAAATTCAGTAATTGTTCATATGTGCACACACATGTGCCTGTGTGTGTGTGTGTTGTGTTTTTAATATATTACAGGCTATGTTCCAGTTCTAAAACTACTCCTTGAGAAAGTTTCATTTCCTAGCATTGCTTTTCATGCTTACATTTTATAGTAGTCTCTTAATTTTCAAGTTGCTCTCCTGTGTCCCACAGCATTAACCTGTGAAGGTCCAGGTCTGTCCTAAAGATATAACTTCTGCATTTGCTTGATTATAACTTTTCCTTCTCCTCTCCTCTCTTTTGAAATAGAGTCCCACTCTACAGAACTAGCTGACCTGTAGACCAGGTTGGTCTCAAACTCACTGAGATCCTCCTGCCCCCGCCTCCTGAGTGCTGGCATTAAAGGCATGCGCCACCCACACCCCTTTGTAATTTTCCTCCTTAATCATTTCAGAAAGCCTTTATCAGAAAGGATGGAGTTGGGAAAGGGAAAACTGCTTAGGACAGGACTGAACTCACTGAATCAAGCAGTACATCCAACCCAGGGCCTTGCCTGGACTGATGGGAACCGTGTGGTGCTGACTGATTTACAACTTCATAGTGGAGAGGCCAAGTTCGGGGACTCCCAAGTCATTGGAAGTTTTGAATCTGTCTGTGGGGTTTCCTGGGCCCCAGTCAGCACAGTGCACGTGCCCGCTCTGCTTGCCATCCAGCACAGGACGCTTGTCTCCGTGTGGCAGCTGTGTCCCAGGACTTCAGGATCAAGCAAATGGCAGCTGTCTCAGACCTCTGAAATCAGAGAGTCACTTCCTATCCTTCCTCAGGGCTGCGTGTGGCACCCAAAAGACGCCGTCCTGACTGTGTTGACTGCACACGATGTTTCCATTTTTCCTAACGTTTACCAAGATGGTTGCAGGATAAAAGTGGACATCAACACCAAGGGCCGAGTTTACTGTGCTTGTTGGACCCTGGATGGCCAGAGGCTGGTGGTGGCAGTAGACAGCAGCCTTCATTCGTATATTTGGGACCGTTCTCAGAAGTCTCTTCACAGCTGCTCCTACTACCCAGTGTTTCCTGTGAACTGTTCCATCCGCTCCATCACAGCCGCCATGAACTCACAGGTTGCTATAGCCACTGAACTTCCACTCCGTAAGCTTTGTAGCCTCAGTGCATCCTCTGATGGTCCACCGAATGGTGAAGATGGGGCTGTCCATGCTCATCCTGTGAGTGAAGCGCCCTCTGTAGGTGAGCAGGGAGCTGCTACAGAAATACATTCTGGAGTGACAGTTTCTCCCTTTTCAGTTCCTCTGGATCTGACTCACATACATTTCAACCCATCCCTAGCTGAGCAGAGTTCTCTTATTTGTTTAAGAGAAAAGGACTACTTGACAGGAACTGGCCAAGATTCTTCACATTTGATCCTGGTAACCTTTAAGAAAGCAATTACCATGACAAAAAAGGTCGCTATTCCGGGCATTCTGGTTCCTGATTTAATAGCATTTAACCTGACAGCACAGCTAGTGGCCGTGGCTTCCAATACGTGTAACGTGATTTTGATCTATTCCGTTGCTCCATCTTCTATGCCGAATATCCAGCAAATTCAGTTAGAGAGGAACGAAAGACCAAAAGGCGTGTGTTTCTTGACAAACAGATTATTATTAATTGCTGTAGGGAAACAAAAGCCCACTGAAACAGCCTTCCTTCCTTCTTCAGAATCTGAGCAGTATACTGTTCATCTGATAGTTAGAGAAATAACACTGGGAAGAGAATCTTCTGGAACATCTGCTGAAAGTGAGGGTGCTTACTCTGACATCAGTGCTCTATTAAATAAAACAGATAGCGAAAAAAAGTTCACTGAGAGCCTTTCCCTGGGTTCGAGTCCCCTGGGCCAAGGGCTCTTGCTAACAGCTAACTCTAGTACTCAAAGTGGGAAGTCTGGAAGAGCCCTTATTCAAGAAATTCAAAATCCCTTGTCCCCTCTGTCCAGTGATTCCATTGTCCATGAAACCCTTCACAGGCCCTCTTGGCTTTGCACAGCCTTGCCTAGACTCAGCAGGACCCCAGAGCACACCAGCACCCCAGAACTGAATGCACCTCAAGAAGAGAACTTACAAAAAGAAAAGCAAACTTGCCCACTTTCCAGAGAGCTGGAAATCCTGTCTCAGCACCTGGTTGGGATGCAGCAGTATCTCTTTGAGCTCATGGATTTTCTACACAAGGAGAAACGCATCTCTTCCACTTATCCACCCTCTCAGGATCCTCCATACGTCTACCTCATTTACCAGGTAACATCTTGTTGGAGGAACTTCCACTATGCAGGAAGCTCCTGCATCCAGTCTGTCCCGCCAGCAACACTGCGGGGAGGGGGGGAGAGCTCTGAGTGAAGCCCAGTGACCTGTTAGAGCAGTTTGCCATTCCTCTGTACAGTTAGATGGATGTTAGCTGACCAGAAGTGCTCACACCAGGGTTTAGCAGGGTTTTATCATATCCTTGGTGTGGAAATTAATGACTACACTCTGTTGACTTATTTAGGGGAAAAATAGGATTGTCTGTTCATTATGAAAACCTTTGGGATATGTGTGTGTGTGTGTGTGTGTGTGTGTGTGTGTGTGTGTGATGGGGGGGGCTACAGGGAGGGAGAGAGAGAGAGGGAAATTATTTAAAATGTTTTGAGGCAGGAGAGATGGCTCAGCAGTTAAGAGGACTGACTGCTCTTTTAGTGGACTGGTGTTTGGTGTTCAATTCTCAGTACTAATGTGGCAGCTCACAATTGTCTATATTTCCAAGATGTGACACGCTCACACAGACATACATGCAGGTAAAACACCAATGTACATAAAATAAAAAATAAAATGTTTTGGATGTATCGTTATACATGCAGATGCAAATAGTCACACTTTGATTTTTAAAAATTTATTTTATGTATATGAGTACACTGTTGCTGTCTTCAGACACACCAGAAGAGGGCACTGAATTTCATTACAGATGGTTGTAAGCCACCATGTCAAAGTTTGCTGGGACTTGAACTCAGGACCTCTGGAAAAGCAATCAGTGCTCTTAACCACTGAGCCATCTCTCCAGGCCCCCCCCCCCCCCATTTTTTCTTTTTTAATCAGGGACACTTCTTTTCACATTGGATATGGCTCTGTTTCATCATGTTCACTTATTTTAACCATCAGTCTTGTGGCTCCTCCCACATTTGCCTACATACATATAAAATGTAACACAGATCCTTGCTTGATACACACAGTGTGTGTGGAGTGCGCTGTCACTGTTTTACAACAGTGGAGTCACAGGGTGCATTGTGCCTCAAACTGAGTATGCGTGTTCAGCCAGCTCCGTTTTCAGTTGGGTACCTCAAATGATGCTAAAATAGTATATTTACTCATTTGTTTCAGTACCTTTATTTTTGTTGGATTGGTTCTAAGAAGTGAAGTGCAAATTTGAAGAGTGTAGTTCTACAATTTTGGTTTTGTTTTTGAGATCAGATCCATGTAGCTCAGGCTAGCCTCTCCAGGATGACATTGAACTTCTTGTGGGTAGTATATGTATGTGTTCATGGGAGTCATGTGCATGTGCACATTGTGTCTAGAGGGAAGGCTTTCCACTTGACCAGGTTTCTCACTGAACCTGGATCTCACTGATTCGGCCAGTGAGTTCCAAGGTCACCCATCTCCATCCCAGCCAGCACCTCTCCTGGTGGGTTTTTGCTTTGTTTTGTTTTTTATTTTTTGTTTTTGTTTTTTCATTTAATTCTGGCTTTAATGCTTTTGTGGCAGGTACTTTTCTGCCTAAACCATCTCCCCAGACTAAGACCCCAAACTTCTTATCCTTCTGCCTTCACCTCTGAAGTACATGTGTGCACCCCAGTGCCTGGTTTTATGCTTTGCTGGGGACCAACTCAGAGTCTTTATTTTTTAATTCTTTTTTTTAATGTAAGGTTTATTTATTTTATGTCTGTGAGTACACTGTTGCTCTCTTCAGATAAACTAGAAGAGAGCATCGGATCCCATTACAGATGGTTGTGAGCCATCATGTGATTGCTGGAAAGTGAACTCAGGACCTCTGGAAGAGCAGTCAATGCTCTTCACTGCTGAGCCATCTCTCCAGCCCCCAACTCAGAGTCTTGTGTATGCTAAACCAACCTCTACCATTTGAGGAGAACTCACTATTTAATACCATTTTCTACTGGTATTTTAAAAGTTATTAGGAGCTGGAGAGGTGGTGGTTAAGAACATAAACTAGTCTGAGCATAGTAGCAGATTCCTTTAATCCCAGCACTTGAGAGGCAGAGGCAGGAGGATATCTGTGAGTTAGAGGCCAGCCTGGTCTATATAATGAGTTCCAGACCAGCCAGACCTTCATAGTGAGATCCTCTCTCAAAAAAGAAAAAAAAGTCTCTTGAAAGAAAGAAAGGAAGGGTGGAAGAAAGGAAGGAAGAAGAGAGGAAGGAAGAAGAGAGGAAGGAAAGAAAGATATGCACTGCCTTCCTAGAGGACCAGAGTTTGGTTCCTGGCACCCAGAACTCCAGTTCCAGGGGATCTAAGCCCTCTTCTGACCTCTTCTGGTACACATGTGGTGTACAGAAACATGTGCAGCAAAACACTCAGACACATAAAATTAGTTTGACTCATTTCACTGAACCAGACCTCCAGTTCCATTGTAACGCTGTTCCCCAAATACTTAATGAAGATACTTAAATAATAACTAAAAGTAATGTATAATGTAAAAATAACTTTTATTTATCAGTGTGTGTTTGTATATAAAATATGTCTCAGTTAGGGTTTACTGCTGCAAACAGACACCTTGACCAAGGCAAGTCTTAAAAAGGACAACATTTAATTGGAGCTGGCTTACAGGTTCAGAGGTCCAGTCCATTATCATCAAGGTGGGAACATGGCAGCATCCAGGCAGGCATGGGGCAGGCAGAGCTGAGAGTTCTACATCTTCATCTGAAGGCTGCAAGCAGAATACTGACTTCCAGGCAGCTAGGGTGAGGATCTTAAAGCCCATGCCCACAGTGACACACCCACTCCAACAGGGCCACACCTTCTAATCATGCCACTCCCTGGGCTGAGCATATACAAACCATCACAGTATGTATGTGTGAGATGGGCATGCCTGTTCCATGGCATGATGTAGAGGTTAGAGGACAACTTTTACCATCAGAAGCCAGGCGTGGTGGCAGTGCTGAGGAGGCAGAGGTTGGTGAATCTTGAGTTCGTGGTCAGCCTTGTTTTCAAAGCCAATTGCAGGCCATCGAGGACTCTGTCTTAAGACAGACAGACAGACAAACAAACAAACACATCAGTTCTCTCCTTCCACCTTGATTCTAGGGATTGAACTTGGGTTATCACAACCTAAGTGACAAGTGCTTTTTCCCACTGAGCCATCTCACTGGCCTGGTATCTTAGTAATGAAACATTTGCTGTGATGAAACACCATGCTCAAAAGCAGCCTGCGGAGAAAAGGGTTTATTTCACCCCTACTTCCACATAACAGCTCATCAGAAGAATGAGCTCATTGTCACGCAAGTCAGGAACCTGGAGGCAGGAGCTGATGCAGGGACCATAGAAGGATGCTGCTTACTCACTTGCTCCCCATGGCTTGCTCAGCCTGCTTTCTTATAGACCCAGGACTCCCAGTGCAGGGATGGCCCCACCCACCATGGGCTGGGCCCTCCCCCAATCACTAATTAAGAAAATGCCCTACTGTCTTACACACAGCCCAATCTTATGCCATCATTTTCTCAGTTGAGGTGCCTTCCTCTCGAATGAATAAACCTTGTGCCAAGTAAACTAGGCAGCACACCTAGCCCTAGAAGTAATATTTTTTATTCTGTATTCATGATTATGCTTTTAGGCTCATAATGAGTCTTAAGTTAGAACTGTAACAATTTAAGGATATTTTCCTCTGGGTATATTTTAAATCACTTCTAAAATGACTTCACTCTTTCGTGACTTCAAAAAAAAATGTTTGTGTTTTGAGGCAGGGTCTCACTGTGTAAGCCTAGGCTGGCCTCAACTTGCCTTATAGATCAGGCTGGTCTTAAACTCACAGAGCTCTTCCTGCCTCTGCTCCCCATCCCCCAGTGCTGGCTCTGAGCCATATCCACTGTATCTAGCTCCCTCTCCATTGTTCTTAAGAGATGTCATTCCCTGGTCTACAGAGTGAGTTCCAGGACAGCCAGAGCTATACAGAGAAACCCTGTCTTGAAAAAAAAAAAGAGAGCTGTCATTCCATTGCTTTAACAGTCGGTTAACCATTTTTCCTTTTACTTGAAGAAACCTTGTTCTGTAGGTCCTGCTGGGAAAAGAGCTGTGCTTCTCTGTGACGGCAAGCTAAGGCTCAGTACCATTCAACAGCTGTTCGGCCTTCACCTTGTTGAAATGCTGCACGGTAGGTGAGAGCCAGAGCACCCTGTCCCTCCCTTCTGTTCAGAAGCTTCAGGAGTGGAAATGGTACCGTTCAGCCAATCAAGAGAGTCACTAAGTAGTTAATAAATATGATTAATTGCCTACGATATACCCCGGCCTACTAGAGACAGTACAGCCCATTGAATACAAGCCCTTTCCTGAGGGACTTACACCCAGCTTGGAAAATGTACACCTTCTACAAAAGGAAACTGAGCTGCAAGGCCATGAGTGCACTGGCCATGGAAACACTTCAGTGTGCCTGTTGTGATCCAGTGCACTGGCTGTGGAAACACTGCAGTGTGCCTGTTGTGATCCAGTACACTGGCCGTGGAAACACTGCAGTGTGCCTGTTGAGATCCAATGCACTGGCTGTGGAAACACTGCGGTGTGCCTGTTGTGATCCAGTGCACTGGCTGTGGAAACACTGCAGTGTGCCTGTTGTGATCCAGTGCACTGGCCGTGGAAACACTGCAGTGTGCCTGTTGTGATCCAGTGCACTGGCCGTGGAAACACTGCAGTGTTGATGGAGTTGACATTCTCAGGTGGAAAGAATGGGGGGACGTGAAAGACAGGACCACACAGTGAGACTGTGTTAGCAAGGCACTTGTGGAACATGGCTGCTTGTTTTTTGTTTTGTTTTGTTTTTTTATTAGTAGCCTCGGCTGTCCTAGAACTCACTCTGTAGACCAGGCTGGCCTCAAACATACAGAATTCCCAAGTCCTGGGAATGAAGGCATGCACCTCTACCAACCAGCTCATTTTTTTACCAGCAGCTACCACATTGAACATAAAACATTTTATTTTTTCCCTTTAGCATTGTAACATTTTTCTGTTTTGACAGATATATTTATAATATGGCTTTACAATTGCCATTTTTGACAGATAAGTTAGTATTATTTCTGAGGTATACCATTTTTATTTTCTCATATTTTCTTGTTTGCTTATTTTTGTTTTATTTTTAAATATTTATTATCATTTTTTTTAATTTATGTGTTTCTCCAGGCATGTATATGCATGCAATACCCATGGAGGCCAGAAGAGGACGTTAAATTCTCTGTGACTGGTGTTACTGATGTATGTTCGCCCTCATGCACTTGCTAGGAATTTAACACTGGTCCTCTGGAAGAACAGCTAGTGCTCTTAGCTGAGCCATCTCTCCAGCTCTATCTTTATTTTATATGTATGAGTGGTTTTTTTTTTGTTTTTTTGTTTTTTTTTTTTTTTGTTTTTTGAGACAGGGTTTCTCTGTATAGCTCTGGGTGTCCTGGAACTCACTCTGTAGACCAGGCTAGCCTTGAACTCTCGAACTCAGAAATCTGCCTGCCTCTGCCTCCCAAGTGCTGGGATTAAAGGCGTGTGCTGCCACTGCACGGCTTGTATGAGTGTTTTTTCTGTACACCGTGGGCACACTGGCCTAGGAGACGAGGGCATTGGATCTAGCCTTCTGTCCTTGGAAGGCTCCGAATGCTCGCCGTGCACACACAAACACATACATACATACAGGCAGGTCACTCATACTTGTAAAGTAAAATTTAAAAAATACAGATTTAAGTCATTTATTTTTCAGAAAAAGGATTTATTCACTTATTATATATACAATGTTTTGCCTGCATATATGCCTGTGTACCAGAAGAGGGCACCAGCTCTCATTATAGACAGTTATGAGCCACCATGTGGTTGCTGGGAATGGAACTCAGGACCTCTGGAAGAGCAGCCAGTGCTCTTAACCTCTGAGCCATCTCTCCAGACTCAGTCACTTTCAGTTTTAACCATTATAAATAACACTAAGAAAAACCTTCTACATATTTGTCTTTTACTTTTTGAAGTATGTTTTTCAGAAGTAAAGCACAGGGTCTCCGAGACTTGAAGGACCAGAGATGATCCAAGTATGTACCACACTACTGCCCCAGAACAACTGGGACCTTCCAGTCGCTGTCCTACGTCTAGTCAGCTCGCCCTCCTTGGATAGCTACAGTCGGTCCTAATGTACCGAATGAAAAATTCCCCTGATGGATGGAACCTCCTCAGGAAGTTTCTAGAGAAACTAGTATACGTCCTGATGTGTGCAGACGAACACCTGCATGCTGTTATATACACAGCCCCATATGATAAATGCCAGTCCCGAGGAAAACTCTATGTTCTTAGCTTTGAGTGACCCACGTGAGGTGCACTGCCCTGTGCTCTGACCCTAATACAACTCCATCTTTTCATCTCCATGTTTTCTGAAAAGTATTAGGTGATGGAGTTCATAAGGTTTTATATCAACTACCAAGTTTCCTTCTTTACAAGGTAGCCCCGTGTAGTAGTGAGTACCTGTGGTACCTGTGACCCCAGCACCCGAGGTTCCTGTGCTTACCAGTATGTGGCCAGCCTTGGGCTGCATGGTCCCAGAGCAGCTCCAGCTCCAGGATGAGACTTTTTTTTTTTTTTTTTTTTTTTGGTTTTTGGAGACAGGGTTTCTCTGTGTAATCCTGGCTGTCCTTGAACTCACTCTGTAGACCAGGCTGGCCTCGAACTCAGAAATCCGCCTTCCTCTGCCTCCCAAGTGCTGGGATTAAAGGCGTGCGCCACCACCGCCCGGCTCCAGGATGAGACCTAACAGCAGTGACGATGTCTTGCGGTCATCTGTTTATCCTTAGAGCATCATACAGTGGCCTAAAGTACTCTGCACTTCATTTGCTTTGTAGATTCCCACTGGATCCTCCTCTCTGCCGACAGCCAAGACTTCATCCCATTAACTTTCACAGCTGCCCAGACAGTCGTGGTGAGAGATGGCAGCCTGTGCAAGCCAGAGGAAGCTCTTTCTCACAGTAAGGATCCGAATCCTCCACCTGAAGTCTTCAGAGACCTTGCTCCCCAGGATGTAGACACAGCTGGTTGTTTCAATAGCATGACCTGATGGCTGTTTTGCAGAGCACATGATTCCCCTTGGGCTGTGTGCTTCTGGGTAACAGGGCAAGTGGCTGCTTATGTCTTCATGACTGTGCCACTTTGAGGACAGAATTCTAAGGATGAAACGATACCACATGGGCATATGGATTGTACTTTATGATTTCTCCAAGGCCTCGCTTCCCTGGCTGGAAGTTTGTTAGCGCTGCCTGCGAGTGTTCGTAGGATGCAATGGAGTAGGGTAGGTCTTCTCCTTGCTCTAAAGATGCGGGTGAGAAGAGCTTCTAGGGAGCCTGTGCTTCAGTGCAGCCTTTTAACCCACTTCCTGGGGCAGCAGGGATTCCGAGCGAAGGAAGTCAGAGACTTCTGCTCTCAGGACTGCCTGGATCAGGAGGAAGTTCTGAGGGTGGCCTGCCCCCTCCAGATCTAAAAACAATCCCCTTGCTCCTGTACACAATTCTGGCTGACAGAGGTCCAGACACTGCTAAAAAGTGCTCTGGGCAAATTTTTAATAAACTTCCAAGATTTGACTCCCCTGGGACCATGTGATCGCTCGCGGCCACCCACCTGGGGAGACCACGCCTTGTTCTCTTGCCTTGCTGTTCCTAGTGCTCTCCTTGAGCTGTAGTCTTTTATTTTCCAGTTTGAGGATCACAAAATGTTCCCATCCTTCCCTCCCAAGAATTAGCCTTCTTAGTTAACTTTTCGTTTGTTTGTTTGTTTGTTTGTTTGTGAGGTGGGGCTCAGACCCGTTTTGAACATGACAGACAGGTGCTCTGGCTTCCACTGAGCCGTGCACCCCCAGCCCCACTTGTCTCATTAACTTTGCTATTTTTCTCTTAACTCCTTTCAAATCTGAGAGATCAGTGTAGGATCAGAAAGTATTTTAAAAAATTGAAAGTTTCACAGAGATCTGAAGGAGCTCTAGAAAGCCTCAGTTTGTGTACACATGATAAGGCACCGGCTTAGTACAGTGGGAAAGACCCTGATCCTTTAAGCTGCACCTCGCAGCTGCAGGCAGTAACCCCTGCCAGGCCCTGCAGCCTGCAGATTGACCAGGCCTGGGGGGAGGGGCAGCACATCTGCAGATGCCTTGCTCAGTCATCGAGGCTCCATTAACACACGTACCCCGCCCCCCTTGTCCTTTAAAAGCACCCAGAGAGGAAGTGTCTTGTGCCTTGGGGACTCCTGTCTGTCTGCTGCAGTTTATGAAGATGGAGCTGGGCTAGGAAAGATGCAAAGGCCTATTTTGCGGTTCAGAAGCATTAGGCAACAGCTGGGCTAATGGACGGGAAGGCCGAATGTCTGTAATCAGTGGCCTGGACAGTGGTGGCTGAGGGGAGGCTGAGGCTTGGCTCCATCTGCAGAGGAAGTGGCTGGGGTGTGATGAGGTCACTGGTATTATGAACGCAAAGAGAGGGACTAAGGGACCCCAAGTAAGATCAGCGTGGCTGCCTCAAGATGTACTTTATAATCTCAGGGCAGAATGCTTGCAGTGAGTCCAATCTCAGCCACTGTGACGGTTTTGATTGTTCCAATGATGTGGTCTTTATGACTATCTGGATTTGGACGTGCATAATTGCCACTTTGATATTTCTTCTGGTGGACATAGTGCAGAATGTTGATTGTTTCTTTATAATAAATCTGATTCCAACTGATGGCAACTCTTTTTTTTTTATTTTGAAATTATTTTAATTTAGAAATAAAAAACCTCATAGGAAGATGGAAAGAAACAAAAAACACAAAGCATCCAGGCAACGTTTTACTTCATGAGCTTGTCACCCCCTGATTGGTTCACTCGTCCCATGATGAGAAAGGACTCAGCCACCCACAATAATGTTGTTAATAGGGATATGGATCAGTTTCACAGAGAAGCCAGTGAAGCCCATGACAGCAGATCCTATCGCTGTGGCCATGGCGAGCTTCTGGAATTCTTTTCTGTCGGGCTTGGTGCATCTTTTAACCAGCTGAATCGAGTCCTTTACAAACTGCCGACTTGGCTCGACAAACTGCATTACCTGATCCATGTTTGTTTATGGGATGGCGGTTTGAAAGGGTAGAGACACGTAGTTTAGGACAAAAATTGAGCCCTGATGGCAACTCTTACACAGATGTTTCCTTGGCCTCTGCTGTTAATACAGTCTTTGGAATAATAGAAGCCAGTCCTGTTATTTGCTGGCTCTAGAGAGAAGCACTAAGTCCTTTAGCGTATTTAATGTCACATTAAAAAGATTTTGTAGAGGCTGGGCAGTGCTGGTGTGCACCCTTAAACCCAGAACCCAAGAGGCAGAGGCAGGCAGATTTCTGTGAGTTGGAGGCCAGCCTGGTCTACACAGTGAGTTCCAGACTAAAATGAAGATGTCTTTCTCAAGAGCTGAAATATTACTAGAACCTTTTCAGGCTTCCTGTGTGTTTCTTCTAATCCTGTCTCCATAGCGCCGAAGGTGACTGATAGGTGTCCTGATTTTAGTAATTATTGCTTCCTCATTCCCTCCCCGAGGCACATTGGCCTAGACACAATGTTCACTCTTGGTTTTGAGCTTTAAACAAATGGTATATTATATACGGTCTTCTCTGACTCTCTGTGTGTGTGTGTGAATGTGCGCATGTGCATATTTATGTAGAGCCCTCAGGTGGTGTTCCTCATGTCCCATCCACCTCCCTCCTCCTCCTCTTCCTCCTCTTCCTCCTCCTCCTCCTTCTCCTCCTCATCTTCCTCCTTCTTCTTCTTTTGTTTGAAATAGTATTCCCCATTAGTCTGGCACTCACCAAGAAGGCTTAGGCTAGCTGGCCAGTCAGTGCCAGGGATCTGGCTGGTTTCACCTCCCCCCAAATGCTTTGATTAGAACCTTATACCACCAGGTGGTTTTGTTGATTTTTTAATGTGAGTCTGGGAATCAGACTCAGATTTTCATGCTTAAAAGGGCAAGAGGTGCTCTGACTGCGCCACCTCCCCAGCCCTCTGACTTGTCATCCTGCCTGTCTGCCTGCCATCCTTTCCTGCAAGTATAGTTGATGAATATGTACATGTGTAGGTGCCCATGTGCCTGTGTGAAGACACCAGAGATCAGCACCGGGCATCTTCCTCCATCACTCTCCACCCTATTTTATATGTGTGCATGTTTTACCTTCATGTCTCAGGATTTCTGATTCCCTGTAACTGGAGACCTAGATGATACCAAGCTACCATGTGGTGCAGGAAACAGAACCCAGGTCCTCAGGGAAAGCAACCAGTGCTCTTGACCACTGAGCCATCTTTCCAGCTCATCTACCTTGTTTTTTGAGACAGCAGTGTCTCTCACTGAACCTGGAGTGAGTCTCTGATTTGATTAGACTGACCCGCCATTGAACCCCTAGGATCTGCTTGTCTCTCCCATCCCCACTCCCCACCCAAACCCTGGGGTGAGGTGAGCACTGTCATGCTGTCCCAGTCTACACTTGGGTGTTTTGAACACAAGTCTTCACGCTTACACAGAAGCACATTCCCCACTAAGCCACCTCACAGCCCCCACTCAGGACTGTCTCTAAGATGCACCCTCTTGACGTGTGTGTTATTTTTACTGTTGTGAGTTGGCACAGTTTACAACACTGCTGCCATGGACATTTGGTGTTTCCTGGCTTTACTTTTGAAATTATGAAGCATATTGCTTTGGATACTTTTGTAAATATCTCCATATGCAGATATTTGAGAAGTCCCTCTGGTCTCCTACCTCCACGTGACTACGCTGTTGTGTGTGTGCTTACTGCACATTGCCTTGTAGTGTATTTCCAGGCCGGGCTCTCTTCTCTTTTTGCTCAAGTATAGTACCTTGGTGTGCTTCCATGTGAATGTAAGGATTGCTTTATTTTCTATTCCTATGAGGAGTGTTGAGCTAGGGATATAATTCATAGCTTATCTATGATTCAGTCCTTATCTGTTCCTCCACCCCAAAAAACCTTCAAGCAGGGTGCATGCCTGCAATCCCAGTACTTGGAAGGCTAAGCCAACATCAGTGAATTTGAAGCCAACTTAGATTATACGGTAAAGTCCTGTCTCACACATAGAAAAAATGATATTTGCTGTAGGATTTTGGCAGGTATTTCTTTCAGGAAGAAGTATTTCGTTTTGTTCTTGGTCTACTAAGTACTCTGCTACGGAAGCATTTAGTGTTGGTCAGTGGAGGGAGGGTGATGGGTTCTGTTTGGATGCATGATGTTGGGGCTGCCTGAGCACCACTCAGGGGCACTGGGGCTGGGGAGCTGAGGGTCGAAGTGGAGTCTGCAGCAGCAGGTAGGCGGCGGTGAGATGTGAGTGAGATCACACTGCTCTGGGAAGGCAGAGAAGATTAAGGAGCACCAAAGAAGCAGAGCCAAAGGGGGGTGGGGGGAATGTGTGTCACAGATGGTAGTGAGCAAGCCAAGGGATACCAAGTCTTGAAGTACAGTGCACAGCATTCACTAAGTAGTAGCATTGAGGGTCTCCTCAGTGTATTGGCTACTTGTCCTGTCAATGTTTTAAAAAACCCTGATAAAAGTCATGCAAAGAAGGAAGGGTTTATTCTAGCTCAGTGATCCAGGGTTTGTAAAACATGGCGACAGGAGCTCCAAACAGCCAGTCACTGTGCATCTGCAGTCAGGAAGCAGAGGGGAATGGATGCTTACACTCTGCTTGCTCGCTCCATTCTCTTCAGCCTCAAGCCCAGCCTGTGTAATGGCGTCACCTACAGTGGGCAGGTCTTCCCACCTCAGGTATCCCAGGCAATTCTAAACCCTTCAAGTTGGCAATCAGTATAAACCATGATAGGCTGGTGACTTGTCGGGTATTATAAGTTTAACTGACATATCCATCCTGAGGTGTACACAAGATGTTTGTTAAAACGAGAAACAACCATCTATCGTTCAGTCAGCCAAGAGAGAAGGCTTGCTTGAGCCCAGGATGTGAGCCAGCTCAGGCAACATACCTCTTATCTAAATAACTAAACTTAGATTTTTAAAAGCAAGTTCACCAGATGTCATCCATGCCTGTAATTCTAGCATTTGAGTGCTAAAGGCAGCAGGATCAGTTCAAGGACAGCCTCAGCCACATAGTGAGTTTAAGGCCAACCTGTGCTACTAAGATCTTGTCTCAAACAACAACAGTAACAAAGAAAAGGCTAGTGAGGGACCTGGAGAGATGGCTCAGCAATTAAGAGCACTGACTGCACTTCCAGAGGTCCTGAGTTCAATTCCCAGCAACCACATGATGGCTCACAACCATCTGTAATGGGATCTGATGCCCTTTTCTGGTGTGTCTGAAGACAGTGACAGAGTACTCACATACATAAAATAAGTAAATCCTCTTTAAAAAAAAAAAAGGGCTGGCGAGATAGCTCAGTGGTTAAGAGCATTAACTACTCTTGCAGAGGGTCAGGGTTTGGTTCCCAGCACCCACACTGGGCAGCCGACAACCACCTGTAACTATAGCTCCAGGGGCTCTGACGCCCTCTGCTGGTCTCTGCAGGCATCTACATACATATACAGTCAGGCACAAACATGTACACATAAAGGAAATAAATCTTTACAAAAAAACAAGTAAATCAAGCAGTTACTTGTGGCAAAAGTAGAAACAGTGTACAAACTTCCTTCTCTTTTCTGTGTGTTGGAGTTTGTCCTGCTACGCTGCACTGTCTTTATTATGGAGGCTGAAACTAAGTTGAATGGGTTCTGGGGTGGCGGGTAAGGAGGAGATAGGAATGGCAGGAGGTGAGGAGAGCAGTAAGAGAAGTGAGTTGTTTGGTTTTGGGCTGGGGGCTGCCCTGATCTTTTCTAATTCATCCAGCACACAACATGGTGTCTGATCTATGGTGGCTCCTGCAAGAGCTATGCATAATGGCTTCTCATCAGGGGACTCCAGCATGGATGGTCTGCCACCCACAGTCACGTTTACCCACTTGGTAGGAAAGAAGCTTTTTAGTTTTTGCTTTTTTTTTTTTTTGTTTTGTTTTGTTTTTTGTTTTTCAAGACAGGGTTTCTCTGTGGAGCCCTGGCTGTCCTGGAACTCACTCTGTAGACCAGGCTGGCCTCGAACTCAGAAATCCGCCTGCCTCTGCCTCCCAAGTGCTGGGATTAAAGGCATGTGCCACCACTGCCCCGCATAGTTTTTGTTTGCTTTTAAGACAGGGTCTCAGGTTATTCAGGCTGCCCTCAAACTTGATATATAGCTGAGGCTGGCCTTGAACTCTTGATTCTCCTGCTTTTACTTCCCCAGTGCTGGGATTGCATGTATGCATCACCATACCCAGCTAAATTTGTTTTTGAAAAAAAATAAACTCCAATGAATCTTTCTCCCTCAGAGACAGAGACCCTAGAAAACTGTAATTCCTATTATATGGTTTTTTATATATCATATATCATAGAATTTCAGAATATTTCACAATTTGTAAAAGTGGCTAGCCTCTGATGGTTCCATGTCATCCTCTGTCTATTGATAGAAGGGACCTCAACTCGTGTGAACAGAGCAAAATGCTGGATAAATACCTGCTTAGCCTCCAACATGTCCTGTTTCCTCAGACTGCCCATTCACACTGTGTCCAGGTGGTCACTGGAATCTCAGTGCAAACCGGGCCTGCATCTGTGTTCCTGTGTCGGAGCTCTGCCGTGTAGCAAAGGGAATATACAGGCCAGGGCAGGCAGAGGCTTC